GCCCCGTTGGGGAGGGCAGGGCCCACATCAGGCTCCGAGGCCTCCTCCTTGGCTGCATCGGAGCCCTCTCGGTTTTGAATTCCTTGAAAGACGGAGGACTTCAGTTTTTTAAAGGATCCCATCTTCCGGAAGGAGGCCAGGGCGTTCCAGGTGGAAGAGTGCCCCATCAGCACCACGGAGCGGGGCCGCTCGGGGTGGGCGCCCGTCCTCTTCCTGCTCACGGAGAAGAGGCGCACGAACTTGGCGGGGCCCGGCCTGGAGTCCTGGGCTTCTGCGTCGCCGCCGCATCCTCCGTTCTGACAGGCCGGGTAGGTCACTGTGCCGGGGTCTGTGGGATCCGAGACTGAACAGGGGATCGCAGCAACTCGCCCGTGGCCGTTCTGGGCTGTGGTCATGTTCTCGGAGCCGGAAGCCCGTGGCCACGGGGCGGCACGGCTCAACCCCACGTGCGCACCTGTGTCCACTGGTCCCAGGTGCAGACCTTCATCTCTGAGGCTGCTGCCCGCCTGGCTTTCACACCTGCTTTGCACATCAGGCTCCTCCTCAGTTGTGGCCACTGCCTGCAGCAGAAAACAAAGCAGGATTTAGCCATTGCCCCCACGGAAAAGCCTTTAAAACAGGGGCTAGTTATTTTGTTTAATAACTGCTAATAGACAAAAAAAAAAGGCATGCCCCATAAATGAGCTGATCAAGCAAAAAGTTATACATTAAGTTCAAATTTTACTTTTTTTCTAATTCATTTCACAAATTAAAGGGGAAAATGCAAATATACATTCCTTTAAAAAAGATAATTATGGGTTGTGCATTCAATATAATGGTAAACTCAAGAATTTATTGAAACTTGTTTAAATAAAAGTTTTGAAAAACTGCTGGAATAAAAAAGCCAAGGCATCATTCAAGACTGTCTTCTCTTTATTTAAAAAAGAAGAAATTTTGGCCAGGCTGGTATGGCTCAGTGGTTGAGCCTCGACCTATGAATCAGGAGGTCATGGTTCAACTCAGGGTCAGGGCACATCCAGGGGTTGCTGGCTCAATCCCCAGTGGAGGGTGTGCAGGAGGCAGCCAATCAATGATTCTCATGATTGATATTTCTATCTCTCCCTTACTCTCTGAAATCAATAAAAATATATTTTAAAAATAAAAAAATTTTGGCTTCAATTAATAATTTAAAAAGCAACGATTTCAATATGTGTCACAGCGAAATGTCAACTTAAGTATAAAACAGCTAATGGGCAGACTGAGTGCTTAGTATGTACAAGAACTAGTGCAAGATGCTCTCAGCTGCTTACTGTCTACAGAATATCCCAAAACTCTAATGAGAGAGCTTCTGAAATCAATAAAAATATATTTTAAAAATAAAAACATTTTGGTTTTAATTAATAATTTAAAAAGAAACGATTTCAAAATGTGTCACAGCAAAATGTCAACTTAAGTACTATAAAACAGCTAATGGGGAGACTGAGTGCTTAGTATGCACAAGAACTAGTGCAAGATGCTCTCAGCTGCTTGCTGTCTACAGAATACCCCAAAACTCTAATGAGAGAGCTACAAAATGCTACAGGGACATGAGTGGGAGGGACCAAGCTGAGGTTGCATTAGGTCAACTTTGTGAAAGTATCACAGCGGTTCTTCTGTTGGCTGCCATTTCTATTTGACTCTCTTCCTGTTTTAGACAATGAATTTGTTGGTAAAATTCAGTAGGATTTTTGTCTCTTAAATATTAGATATCGTAACTTTTAACATTGTTATTTTAAATATTTTAATTGATTTCAGAGAGGAAGGGAGAGAGAGAGAGAGAAACGTCAGTGATGGGAGAGAATAATTGATCGGCTGCCTCCTGCACACCCCACACTAGGGATCCAGTCCACAACCCAGGCATATGCCCTGACTGGGAATCAAACCGTGACCTCCTGGTGCCTAGGTTGACGCTTAACCACTGAGCCACGCTGGCTGGGCTATTATTTTGTTTTAAGGAATTTGCCCAGCCAGTGTGGCTCAGTGGTAGAGCGTTAACCTAGGAACCAGGAGGTCACTGAAATCAATAAAAAAAATTAAAAAAAAAGATATTTGACTCCACTTCAGGTCAAAGAGAAGAGATTCCTGGGAGGTTCAGAATTTTTGTACACATTTTGGAGGGGGACAACCTGGCAGTGGTCTAGGATACAGAGAGATGGGAGGGCGCTAAGTCTTCAGATTTTCCTGTAGACCAAATAAATGCACTTGGAGTAAATTCTATGTGTGAGGATGAAGTACTCATCCTACCGCTGCTGCTACAAATTTGTTACAATGAGGGAATCTTTTAATTATCTTTTTCTGACTGATTATTGCCAGTCTATACAAGTGCCTACTGACTAAACTTCCCACGTAGTTTTAATAGCCTTTCTGGTGATTCATTCTCTCCTTTTTTTTTCTCAAGATATGCAGTCATATTGTCTACAAAAAATGTTAATTGTCTTTCCTACTTTCTAAATAATTATACTTTTTGTTTTTGATTTTTTTGCCTCATGATATGAACTAGAACAGAACAATGTTTTGTAATAGTCATGATAGTGGGTGTTATCCTGTTCCTGTATTTGAGATTATTTTAAAAGTTTGAGATGAGAGGAATGTGAAATGGCTTCCATTTATGGATAATAGGGCCAACATTTCTTTAGTAATATAATGAAAGATGAAAACCAGTGGTAAAGTAGGAGCCAAAGAAGAAAGGATGGTCAAAGTATAGAAACATAGAGAATGAATGATCACAAGAATGGATTAGAACTTAGTGCACATGTGATGCTGAAAACCAGTGGGCATTGATCGCATTGATCACACAAACGCTGTCTTTGAGGGAAATTGTCATCCATTTCACAGAAATGTCCTAGGAGAGCATTAGTCTAAATCATAGGCACAATATCAACTGTACAGGATACTGTTCTGCAGGTTGTGGAAGACCTGGAGAGACACAGACACACAGGAAACTGTCCCCCTGGAGCCGGAAGTCTGTTGCTCTCTTGCTCTGGCACTTTAGCTGGTTTTGACGAAGGTTGTGCTTGTTTTATCTGGGATTCCTTTGTAAAAAACCCCTGCTCTAATTTTCACTACCTGTCTTGTAAGGAAACTGCAGCTGCTTAAGGAAGAGTCTCATACTGAGTGGAGTTTAGTGTACAAAGACAAAATCATGCATAGCCAAAATTTCCTCTGAAAGATCTTTCAAATTGTCCATAAAAACACAGTGATTTTGTACCTCTCATTCTGTAGACTATATACTATGTAGTTATAAACGTATAATAGCCAAAGTAATGTATAGTATAGAATAAAGTATCTATTATAATAAAAGCATAAGCTACTAATTAGACCGGACAGCTGAACAACCTTCCAGACATCATTCCGGACGAAGCTGTGGCAGAGGGGGCAGAGGCAGTTAGGAATCAGGCAGAGCAGTTAGGAGCCAGCGGTCCTGGATTGCGAGAGGGAGGTCCTACTGCCCCACAGGGATCGGGCCTAAACCAGCAGTTGGACATCCCCCGAGGGGGTCCCAGATTGCGAGAGGGTACAGGGCAGGCTGAGGGACCCCTGCCCCCCATGCACGAATTTCGTGCACCAGGCCTCTAGTGGAGTAACACAGGGATCAGGCCTAAACCAGCAGTTGGACATCCCACGAGCGGGTCCCAGATTGCAAGAGGGTACAGGCCAGGCTAAGGGACCCCCGCCCCCCATGCATGAATTTCGTCCACCAGGCCTCTAGTGGAGGAGTAATGGTCTTCTTATGATTTGTACTGGATACAGAAAAACAGGCAGGAGCCCTTATTGTGTAATCTGGCTGGATAAAAACAGATTACTAACACAACTAGGGGGCACTAGGAGACCTTTTATAACCCAGGATGAAACTGTGTTAAACTGATTCCTAAGGGCTCAAGGGGTATAAGGAAAGTACTTGATAAAATGTTGGGTAGTTTGAGCATGTTCTATGAAAGACATGAAGCCAGGCCTAGGTTCTAAACTCAGTATTGTCACATGAACCTTAAGTAAAGTCATTTCAGGAATCTGTGCTTCAGTGTCATCTATAAAACAGGTGCCAACATTTATGTATATATCAGCCAACTAATCAATTCACAAGCCTCTATTGGGCACAAAGATCTGTGTGGGCCCTGTGATGAATTCAAGGCAATGACAAGGTGATGGTCCATTCCAGATAGGAAACTGGCATGAGCAAAGAAGAGTAAGGAATATAGGTATGATTGGGAGGCAGTATATTTGGGTGGCCAGCTATCCCAATTAGCCCAGCAGTGAGATATTTTCCATGATGTGAGACTCTCATGGCTGAAACTGGGAAAGTTCTTAGCAAACTGGGATGACTGGCCACCCTACATTAAGTAAAATAATATAGTTGGAAGGATGGCTTGATGTAATATAGTAGTAGAAATAAAGGTGAAAACAGGCTAAGCCTACACACCATTAGTCTAACACTTTAAGACTGTCTGCAGGTGTCACCTTCTTTAGGAATTCCTTCCTGATTCCACTCAAATAAATTAATCCCTTACTCTGTGGGTTACAGATGTCTCCCCAAGTTGCTTTACCCAAACATATTACAATGATAGGTTTATATGGCTGCCTTCAGAACAAGACTATGAACTCTTAAGCAGTAAAAACGATGTACTTTGCACACTTATTTAAAACTAGAGGCCCGATGCACGAAGATTCATGCAAGAATGGGCCTTCCTTCCCCTGGCTGCCAGCACCGCCTTCGCTCTGGCCGGAGTCACCTTTGCGCCTTTCCACACTTCCCAGAGGCCTGGAGCGGCTGGGGCGGTGCGGAACGTGTGTCCTGCCCCACCCCCGGCCGCTTGGTGCCTGTGTATGCAAATTAACCCTCCATCTTTCTTGGGTTAATTTGCATACTCACTCCTGATTGGCTGGTGGGCACCGCAAAGGTACAGTCAAATTGCATCTTTCTCTTTTATTAGTGTAGATTACCTTGATGTGAAATTGTATCAAGTTCTCCTGCCTTCTCAATATCTGTACCAAGGTAACGATTCATTACTATATACCACTATTATTTTTCCAATGTGAAGATGTTTAGATTTTTACAACACTAAGAAGTCTAAGTAAAACTTAAGTTTTAGGATGGAGATCCAGTAAAATACATGCAGAAAATCAGTTTCTAATTGGGGCAACATACTTTTCAAAAAATCATTGCCTTACTATTTCGTTGATGTAGCTGAACAATGTGATTGTTGTGTGCTACTTGGAATGAAACTGAAAATCACGGAAGAAAGCTTTTCCTGGAATTTCCAAGTAACACCAAGTTGCATTATTTAGAACTAACACTTTGACCTCTATTAACAAGGATTGCAATTCAGTCAGTGGTTTTGTAGCAAGGCTTGTAAATTGTGGAAACTCTGCCAGAGATATTTATGAACAGAACTACAAGAAAGACTTTTAGATGGGAATATTGTGAAATCCATTGTCTACAAGCTAGGTTCTGGGGTGTATGAACTTTAGAATAGAACATTTTAGTCATAATGAGAATTCTCTGAAAACAACTATGACCAGTACTTGTTAAATAAGAACTTGTACTTGAATTTGAAATTCAGGAATATATATCAAGTTAAATGTACAAACAAGAAGGTTTTTGTTGTAAATTATAGAAACTACAACACTGAAAAACAAACATTGAAATCTAATGCTAAAGGATGAAATCTGAAGTGCTAAAGGATTGAAATCTGAAATGCTAAAGGAGTGAAAGTATAGATCCTTGAATCACAGCACTATAGAGCTAAGGAGCATGTGATCACTAATTGTAAAGATTAGGATACTCGGGCCCAGTGGGTCAGCCTACTGTTGGTGAAAGCACAGTGGGCTGGGAATCAGAGGGACCAGATTCTGACACAGCAGTGCCACCTACTGGCTAAAACCTGTTGGTGGTCCTAGACTTCCTTTCCCTCCTTAACTAGTCACCAAGTGTAAGAGATCCTGGCTCAGTGTGGGCTGCCTCCACCTTAACTCCAGCCTTTAGGACCTTCACCTGATGATTACATTAACCTCCTGACAAGTCTCCTGTCCTCTGGTCTGATTCACCTCCAATCCAGCCACAGTGAACTTCCCAAACTGCAAGTAGAGTGGTGTCACTTCATCTAGTGTTATCAACTACCCTTGGAGATGTTGAGATGTCAAATCACCTAAGCCTAGCACACAATACAGTGAGCCTTTCTCATACAACTATGCTCTGGGATATTTTCTTGTTTGCTCCCGGAGTTTTTCTCCAGCCATTTTTGTCTCTCTGTAGTGCAGGGAACCACAATCCCCAGGCTCCTGTAACAAGTGGCTTCTGGCCAGGTTGGCCAGTGAGCAGCACTGGTGGGAGATGCCAGGGTATTTCTCTCTGTGTGGGCTGCTGCAGGGGCCTTTCCAGCAGCTCTGAGGCTCTTATTTGGCTCCAGCTCCTGCTGGGCAGCTGCTCCTTCCAGGTGGCACAGTGTCCGGCTCAAGTAACACCACCTCTTCCCTTTATCCCTCCAGGCTAGGGGTGGCAGCATCTTCCTGCTATTGCTCATCTGAGCCTCACTGTCTTCTCTTTTGTTTCTCAGCTGTGTAATAATTCTCTTTGTTTGAAATACCTAGAGAAGTTTCTCTTTTTCTGACTGGTAAATATGTGCTTTGCCTAACTTTCATTAATTCAAATAAACTTGTCCCTAGAAGAACTCTTTCCTTCCTATCCAATCCAGATGCCCCTCCTGCGTGGGCTCACAGCACCTCATGCATTTATTTTAGTACTTACCATACTGCTCTGTAATTCTGGTTTTTCTGTCTCTTTTCTCCACTGAACTCTAAAAAGGTCCTTTCAACGCAGAAAGCAAATCTTCTTTAACTCTGTTGTCAGCAGTCAATTCTGATCAGATGAAGATAACACTCTTTCTTTGGCATAACTTAGCTGTGTCAACCTATACAGTGGGGCCTTGACTTACGAGTGTCCCGACTAACGAGTTTTTTGAGATACCAGCTGTCTCTCGGCAGATTTTTTGCATTGAGTTGATAGAGTAATTTGAGTTAATGAGCTCCTTAACGAGCTCGGTCTCCGAAGGAATTAAACTCGTAAGTCAAGGCCCCACTGTATTTGGGACCAGATAATTCTTAGTTGTGAGGGCTATCCTATGCATTGTAGATATTTAGCAGTATCCCCAGCCACTGCCTTAAAATGATGCTATTAGGAAGAAGAAAAATAAAGTATAGAGAAAACCCTGAAAACCATGGAAGTGCCATGAGTTAGTTTCACAGTGGTTTCTAAAAACTACTGAAATTTATCATTTTCAATCATAAAACAGTGTTCTATTTATTCTTTGAGAGTACTGATAAAAAAATTTTTAATGATAATATTGTTAGGACAGTTTCCTTTGGAAAAAAGCTCAGCTTAATGAATGTTTATATTCCATTATTATAATAGTTGTGTCTAATTTCGTAAATGCTTTTTTATACATTCAGTGAAAAAGAAAATTTAATAACATAAGAGAGTAAATACCAACATGTTAATAGTTACACCAAGTGATCACTTTTTAACTATCAATGCAGATATTTCACTTTAATAGGTAATCAATTTATCTACAAAAGGTTAGTAATTTAAGTGATTAGATTTCACAGATTATATCTGAGTAAAGTTAATATGACAATTAAGAATACTATAAATAAATGTTTCATAACATACTTAAAATATGGTTAATATTAATGTTCAAATGTAGGTATTAAGATAAATTTTGATTCATTTGTCTCAATGTTAATCAGCAATATTTGAATAAAAAATGTTTAAAGAGTTTCCTAATGTACCTGTGATTATTAGGAATGTGATTTCTTCAATAAAATTATATATTCCCATTAAAATATAAAATATTTCTTCTCTAAAATATATCTTAGAAATATTAATGCAAGCCATAACTTAATATTTTTCCTACTCTTGCACATTATAGGGTAGTGGTTCTCAACCTTCCTAATGCCGCGACCCTTTAATACGCCGGGTACTCGTATATGGGCGTATCTGCATGTGGGTGGACCCACCTAGAGACAGATAGAGGAGTGGTGTCTCGGTTCCTAAGACCATCGAAAATATGTGTTTTCCAATGGTCTTAGGTGACCCCTGTGAAAGGGTTGTTCGACCCCCAAAGGGGTCACGACCCACAGGTTGAGAACCGCTGTTATAGGGGATGCAACAGGAGTGCCCAGCTAGAGTGAATGGGGAGGCTGTGCCACTGGACCGTATTACATAAATTCGCTATACCAAGCCGGGGAGGCATAGCAACTCTACTTAACACACAGAAACAAACACAGAGAAGCAGCCAAAATTAGGAAACAAAGAAACATGTCCCAAATGAAAGAACTGGGCAAAACTCCAGAAAAAGAACTAAGCAAAGCGGAGACAATCTAACTGATACAGAATTCAAAACACTGGTTTTAAGAATACTCAATGAACTTAGGGGAAGAGTAGATGAACTTAGTGAGAACTTCAACAAAGAGATAGGAAGTATAAAAACAGATATAGAAAACATAAAAATGAACCAGTCAAAAATGAAGAATAGCCGGAACCGGTTTGGCTCAGTGGATAGAGCGTCGGCCTGCGGACTGAAAGGTCCCGGGTTCGATTCCGGTCAAGGGCATGTACCTGGGTTGCGGGCACATCCCCAGTAGGGGATGTGCAGGAGGCAGCTGATCGATGTTTCTCTCTCATCGATGTTTCTAGCTCTCTATCTCTCTCCCATCCTCTCTGTAAAAAATCAATAAAATATATTTTAAAAAAAAATGAAGAATACGTTAACTGAAATGAAGAATACATTACAGAGAATCAACAGTATACTAGATGAAGCAGAGGATCAGCAATTTGGAAGATAAGAAAGCAGAAAATACCCAATCAAAATAGCAAAAAGAAAAAGAAACCAAAAAAAAATGAGGAAGCTATAAGAAGCCCCTGAGACAACTTCAAGCGTACCAACATTCATATCATGGGGTACCAAAAGGAGAAGAAAGAGAGGAAGGAATTGAAAACCTATCTGACAAATAATGACAGGCCTGACTGGCTCAGTGACTGAGTATCGACCTATAGTCATGGTTCGACCAGGAAGTCATGGTTCGATTCCTGGCACATGCCTGGGTAGCGGGCTTAATCCTCAGTGTGGGACATGCAGGAGGCAGCCAATCAATGATTCTCTCTCATCATTGATGTTTACATCTCTCTCTCTCCCTCTCCTCTCTGAAATCAATAAAAATATTTTTTAAAAATAATAATGACAGAAAACTTCCCTAACCTGGTGAAGAAAATAGACACAAATCCAGGAAGCATTGAGAGTCCCAAATGAGATGAACCCCCAAAAAACCCACACTAAGACATGTGATAATTAAAATTCCAAAGGTTAAAGACAAAGAGAGAATCTTAAAAGCAACAAGAGAAAAGCAGTTACCTACAAGGGAGTTCCCATAAAAGCTTCCCAACAAGAAAAAGCTATAGGAGTTTATCACACCAAACCAGTATTACAAGAAATGTTAAAGGGTCTTCTTTAAGAAGAAGGAAGAGAAAAAAAAGATAAAAAATATGAATAATAAAATGGCAATAAATACTTATATATCAACAATTACTTTAAATGCAAATGGATTAAGTGCTCCATTCAAAAGACATATGAAGGCTGAATGGATAACAAAACAAGACCCATATATATGCTGTCTACAAGAGACTCACTTCAGATCTAAAAACACACACAGACTGAAAGTAAAAGGATGGAAAAAGATATTTCATGAAAATGGAAACAAACAGTCCTGGGCAGAGTTGCCCAGCAGTTAAAGCATTGATCCACACACCGAAGGGTCGAGGGTTCGATTCCCAGTCAAGGGCACGTACCTGGGTTGCAGGTTCAATCCCTGGCCCCGGTCAGGGCACATTCGGGAGACAACCAATTGATGTGTCTCTCTCACATCAATGTTTCTCTCTCTCTCCTGTCTCTCTCCCCGTCCCTTCCTCCTTCCTTTCTATTCTCTCTGAAAAGCAACTGAAAAAATATACTCATGTGAGGACTAACCAAAAAGAAAGAAAATGGAAACAAACAAAAAGCTGGGGTAGCAATACTTATACTAGACAAAACGCATTTTAGAACAAAGGCTATTAGGGAGATAAAAAATAATAGTAATAAAATAAAACAAAGGCTATATAAGATGAGACAAAGAAGGAGGACCCAGTAATTCCACTTCTGGGTATTTATCTGAAGAAACCCAAAACAGACATATGCATGCATGTTTACTGCAGCATTATTCACAATAGCCAAGATATGGAAGCAACCTGAGTGTCCATCAACAGATGAATGGATAAAGAAGAAGTGTATATATTTGATGGAATATGACTCAGCTATAAAAAAGAATAAAATCTTACTTTGGCTGTTGTGGCTCAGTTGGTTGAATATCATCCTATGCTCCGAAAGGTCACTGGTTTGATTCCCAGTCAGGGCACATGCCCAAGTTGTAGGTTCAAACCCCCACCCCCACCCCAGAGTGTGTACAAGAGGCAAATGATCAATGTTTCTCTCTCTCCATCTCCTTTCCTCTCTCTCTAAAATTCAATAAAACATATTAAAAAAATGAAATCTTGCCATCTGCAACAAAAAGTCAGATAGAGAAAGACAAATGCCAGATGATTTCACTTATATGTGGAATCTAAAAAATTAAACAAGCAAACAGACTCTTAGATACAGAAAACATTTTGATGGTTGCCAAATAGGTGTGGGGGGGAGGGGTAGGACTGGGTGAAAGAGGTGAAGGGATTAAGAAGTACAAATTCGTAGTTACAGAATAGTCATGGAGATGTAAAGTACAGCAAAGGGAATACAGTCAATAATATTGTAATAACTATGTATGGTGTCAGATGGGTAGTAAATTTATTGGGGTTGATCACTTAGTAAATTATGTAATGTCTAATAACTGGGCTGTACACCTGAAACTAACATAATATTGTATGTCAACTATAATTGAAAAATAAAAAATACTTTAAAAAGAGATCATTAAAAAATATTTTCCCTACTCTTAGTCCAAAGCAACTATTTTAACTTTATCAAATGTAAAATAAAAGTTAATTTGTATATAAATTAAGCTACTAACGTTCTTTATAAATCACTTTATCCAGGAAATTAAGGTTAAATGCATTCAGATTTGGGTTAAGGATAAGGGTCTTCATTTCACACCAAACATTAACCTGCTCTCATTAAGTCGAGATGGCTGTGAAAAAAAAATTACAGATGTCTAGCTAAAAGACAGATGAGTAGTAATAGTAAAAATATTTGCCAATAGTACTTTATTGCAATTATATAAAATTTCATTTTGAGTAAATTATAGTTTGGGGATTAATAAAAACAAAGCACCATGGTGCTAAGTCTTTCTAATTTGCTGAAACTGCCTATTTTATTCTGCCCATTTGCTTCCTGTTAGGTACTTTCCTTCTATTATTCACTCCAGTACCTTCCCTAGAATGTGTTGAAATCAAGACTCTGACCAGAAACTGGAAATTCTAATACCCCACATTTTATGAGCAGGTTGTATTCTAAAGGGTTGTGTATAGGCAATCCATTTCCCTATAGACCCTGTCCATCAAACTATCTTTAACTGGTAGTATAGCTACCATTGAACTTAACCATAATTTATAACATGTCCATAGGAAAATGCCCCTACAATTCAATTGTGGGTTTTAGTTCTAAGGGTGAAGTTCCTTTCCCCACCCCCCTAGTCCTTAATACACAACGCTCTCCCTCTCTTTTTCAATCCCAATGTGCGTGTATCAGT